TCAGTTCAACTTTGAAAGTAGATTTTGAACTCTTGCACGCTGGTAGAAAAGTCAGCCCTTTTCTCTTATCCCAGATTTACATGGACACCTTCAACCTACACAGGAAAGGAAATCAGCGTTCATTTCGATCCGTGCTTCCTGAGCACAAGTGAACGCAGCGGGAAGGGCTGCCGGCAAGTTTGCCCAGGCCGACAGGTCGGGCTTCACTTCTATTTGCTGAAATTTTGGGGTCAGGACTCCGACCTTTACACACGTTATTTCAGTACTAAACTGCTTTGGCAAGTGTCCAAACTAAATAGTTGCTAAATCCACATTGTGCTTCCAGCATGGTCACATTTAAATGCAGCAAGGATTTTAGAATCATCCTCATGTCTTTGGCTCAGCCCAATCTACAGCATATAGAACGCTTTTCCTCAAACCCATGTGCCAGACCAGAAAGCAGATCTCTGCATCGAGTTTATAAAACAATGAAGATGACTTTGAGTAGGGGCAAGTGGCTGCCATTTCCAGGCTTCATCACTCCTCTCCAGGCTCAACAACACCTTATGGGGAAGAATCAGATCTCTCGTCTCTCTGTCTCTATCTCTCTCTGTCTGTCACACACACACACACACACACACACACACACACACACACACACACACACACACTACTTTCTATAACCTAGACATTTCTCTACCCCACATTCAACATGTGACATTTGCTTCATCCCCCACCTTTGTTACTCTGATCATACCCATTGATCAATTCTGTATTCTCATCCTTCCCCTTTACTCCTCAATGCCCTAGTCCTCTGAAACATGATTTATGGATCAAACACTGTGCTGCTCGTTCATAACTATGCTATTGAAAACACAGTAGTACTTTCTGGTCTTCATCTAGATGAAATGTTTTATAGCATCCAGATAGCTCCTGCCTTTTTGAAGTGATCTCCTCCCTGGCATAAATTTCTCTTGTTTACCCTCCTGCTGATTTGTGTACAGACAGGTACATGAAATAAGTCTTACATAACAAAAAAACAAATAAGCCCAACTCATATGGTGAAGAAGGAACACCACTGAGGTGCTACTCATTCCCACTTTCCATGGATGATATAGGATGTTTTGGTGTGCAAGGATGTAATAGAATAGAGCTGCTAACCTGACTGCCATTCCATTTAACATAATCATTGTACAATAAGATAACATGATCTAGATACTTTATATTACTTGACAGTGTTCTTTAATAACTATGAAAGGGCAGATTAATTATTGCAAGCTAATAATGTGAGTATACCTAGATGTGTTTCCCTATTTTAGTGCTGAATATTTTGATTCCTTTGAATTTATTTACAAAATGCTATGTTTTATGTACAGGCACTTACCTAATTATAAGTTTTGTAGATATCACATTCATTGTAAAGAGACAATGTGTCTCTTTGTTGATATTGATACACTTTATAAAATCTTGAACATAGAAAGTTTTCAACAATATACATGAAATTAAAATATTAGACAGATTTTCAAGTTGAAGTGGCATGAAAAATACTATTTACAGTCATGATTTTTTGTTATCTATGTGACAGTCAGCCAAAAGAGTAGCATTCACTTTTGACTAACAATATTCTATTGCATATTTTGAATACTTTGAAGGGCTAACTCACAGACAAATGTAGACAGTGTGCAGCCCAACTTGTGATTTCTAGTTTATATAACAATCAAGTTACATCACCATACACTCATGCAGTACTTTCTCCTAGTGGCATTCTCAGCTACTGTGGCAAATAAAAAAGATACACATATCTAAGGGCCAATAAATAATGAGCAAGCAAATTAACAGCTTTATAAAAGGACTGAAAGCTTCAGGGAGGCTCTGAGCCTGTAAGTGTGATGTCCTTCCTGCTGCATTGAAAAGACACCATTGATTTCTGACTATGATTAATGGGCCTTTTCAATGGCCAGCTTTCTTTGACATTTAACCAGAATTGTGTTCTAGGGTTTTGTCTTATTTCACTTATTTCACTAAATCTGAACGATTCAACAATGAAACATTGCACTTGAAGATTGATTTTGTTTTTTGTTAGTATGAATATTTCGGTATTGTCTAAACTATAAATTTCACCAAAATGCATATTTCCCTATGTCCTGTAAAAGCCATGTCAGAAGAAAAATAGCAACATGGACACATGAGGCCTGACAGCCACATAATGCTAAAAAATAACAGCAGCATGTAGAGAGCTGAGCCAAGCTGCAAACTGATCTGAGAGAGCAGGTGGGTGACCACTGTGTGGTCCATGCTTATCATTTGGCAGCACACACTCAAACAAGCAAAATTTTTAGAATTATATTAATATGGTCATAAATAAAAGTAAAGAGAGAAAAATTAAAATAAGCTGTCTATTGCCATTTCTTAAAGTTTTCATTCAAGTCAAATAATATATTTGTAAGTGCCAATAAAAAAATCAATAAAAGGAACCTTGCTTCAGTTATGAACAGAAAGCAAGTCCTAGGGACAGAAGAAGTTAGTTATGAATTACTTTAAGAAATGTAAGGCTCCCAGGATCTATAAGATAGCACAGTGGATAAAGTATTTTCAAATATAAGAACCGGAGTTTAAATCCTTAGCACCACATAAAAACTAGGAATAGCAGTGCACACCTGTGACCCCAGTGCCAGGGTAGTGGGTCCACCCAGGGTGCTTCCTACCTAACCAGTCTAGCAGAAATGGCAAACTCCAGGTTGAGTGAGAGATCTTGGCTTAAAATATAAGATGGAGAGTGATAAAGACAGATATTTAATAATGACTTCTAGCTCCCAAAGTTTCATGCAAAGGTGAAAAGTGAATACACACACACACACACACACAAATATACCAATATACCAGAGAGAGAAAGAGAGAGAGAGAGAGAGAGAGAGAGAGAGAGAGAGAGAGAGAGAGAAGAAGAAGAAGAAGAA